ATGATGTGGTACTACACAAATTAAATTGAATTGAATCGAATTCAGTTTTATTAAGCCTGTTAAGTATTCACTCCTAAATAACATTGTGTCCTTACGTCTTCCCACCAGTGAAATACCCAAAGAGTTGAAGTTGGTTTCTCTCTGTCTGGAGCATCTGAATTAGATATGAAAGTCCCTGAGCGTAGACACTGCAATGTACTGTTGGTTGGCCTTTTGTCTATAACCTGACCTTAGGTACTGCAAAGAGAGAAGCGAGTATCTGTGGAATTAGACAAGCACTATTCTCCTCAATAGATATAGTGTAATATACAATAATATATAGTGGCATATACAGTAATGTGTGCGGATGGTCAAAAATCCCTCAACAGTATCATAAAAGTACATCGCTTACTTATGTACAGCAGTATAACTGATGAAAATGTTAAACTGAAACTCTCTCAGACACTTCAGACTGATTTAATATATTATTTGGCTCTCCTAAAACTTTTAATAAACTAGCAAAGAATCACTGCAGGCTCAAGACAGAAAGTAGTCAAAATAATCTATACTTAAATTAACCCCATTAAAAAAGGTCCTCACTCCAGTGGTGTTATATAATACTTAAATAAAAATGTCCTTTGTTTTTGTAAAGAAACTGAGGTGAAAACTGGAATCAGGATGCCACCTAGTGCTGAAATGTTGCAATCATTTGTTTCTAAGTATAGCAGAAAGGGTGGTCCTCATTCCCACCACTGTGTGTGTGTGCGTGTGTCTGTGTTTGTGTGTGCGGGTGCGCGTGTGTGTGTGCGTCTGTATGAAACCCTGTGGGCAGTCCCAAACACTTAGGATGCTCTAGTAGTAGAATCCAAACAGACACTGGAGAGCACTGTTCTACAGCAAACAGTGTCAGCCCAACACTGTGCATATCTGCTCTTGCTGCTTAGAACACATTTCCTGATTAAAATCAACTGTGTATCATTTAAATAGAAACATGTGTGAAGTGTTTAAAAAGTACTGCACTGTACCAGTTCAATATTAAAGAAGATTTGTTTTAATAGAACTTTACTTTGTATATATATAAAAAAAGTATGACTTTATGCATCTAATTATAAAATCAGGAGTAATTATTAGTCTGCAATACTATAAACTAAGGACACTTAGCTGACTATACAATGACAATATTCAATCACTGAATGAACCTGAGACATTCAGGAACCCCTCAGCATACAGCAAACTGGCAGACGAGTCATTTAGGTAATTACTTCAAATGCTTTGTCCCAGAAAACCTGATTAGGATTTTAAAAGTAACTTGACAGGAAACTATCACCTACAATTAATCTCACATAGAAA